GTAAATACTTAAAAAAATAAAACTTATAAATTTTTCTTTTCTACGTTAATTTAATATTTAATATATATATATATATATATATTTTAAATTTTAGAATCATTTTAATGGTTTTTCTTTATTATCAGTTCCAATAATAAAACTGACTGTAACCATAGCACCAAATATAATACATTTATTCATCACGTGCTATTTATATAGTAATATAAATGATCAAGTATGTAAATTTTTTTTTTTTTATAATTTTAAAGTTCTTATTAAGATTCTGATATATTTTAAGTAAGATAATATTAATAATAGTTGATAATAATTATTAAAAACATTAAAAATCTAGTGGCACAAGTAATCAGTATTTATTTTTCTGCTATCAATAATTAAATTTATTTGTGACTTCTCATACAATATTTTTACGATTTACGATTAAAAATAAGTACAATTTTGGTACTCTATCAATAGTAAACCTATTATTATATTATAATGATAATGTCAACAATTTGTCCATAACGTTTTATCAACTATATTTTATCACTTTTTGTAGAAAGATACGATGAACTTTGCATTATATAGTAGTAATTGGACAGCAATGAGCATAAAATATAAAAATATCCTGTTGTTAACAATGCAAATGAATGATGCAGAAAAACTGAAACTAAGAATATCGTTGACAAAAATAGTAAACTTAGAAATGTTTGCAAGTGTATGTATTATTTTATTAGTACCACACATTTTTTTTTTTTGAAACATCACAAATAATTAATAAACATATTTATATCTAATACTCGTACCTATCTTATATAAATTTTAAATTAAAAACAAAAAATCAAATTCTATGAGAAAAATACTAATTGAATATTCTTAAATAAAAAAATATGTATATACAAATTAAAAATAATACGAATTGTAGTACTATTATTAAAACTACTAAGACAGTAGTTTAGGTATCATTATTTTAAATGTACTTACTTAATTATGAATTAGGTTATTTTAATTTTTAAAAATATCAAAAGCTGTAGCCTGCAAAATCTGATTTAATAACATAAAAATACAATATATTCTAATCTAGATATTTTATTTGGTTTGAACTGCTAATATTTTGATGTAAATTCTAAAACAGTTTTTATTAGGTACACATTATTTATTTCATTTCATTTTTTATTTCAGGTAATGCATTTAACGTATAGCATAATTTCGGTGTTGGCAAAAAGTTATGGAAATACTAGAACTAAATAATAAAAATATTTTACATTGTAAAAAATATTTTAATTAATAACTATGATCATTCAACATAGATATACATATATAAGTACTTAGATTAAAAAATAAGTAATATATTTAATTTTTCTTTGAGTGTTTGTAAACTAGTCAATAATAATTAATTATTTATCACTATTTGTATAGTAAATATAAGATACTGAAATCATTGTTTTCAAATTCTACGGCTTGATATAGGTACATTATGTATTTATTGCATACGAGAATCCATACCATATACCTATAATATAGGTCCTATATAAGCTAGTACGAGTTTAATATATTTTTGATAATATATTCATTAGCACAATAGCACTTACAGTAAAACTTTATGGGCCTAGCCCTTCAAAAATAACTCATAGTCTCATTAAGGTAATATAATATTAATGATTTGATATTAATTCAAAACGAATAAAAAATAATTATTTATATCGACAGTAAAATTCCAAACTATAATCACTTAAACTGACATAACTTCATATGGTACAAAGCATTTTATAATTTTTCTTGTTTAATTTTCTATTAAGTATATATTTTATATTTTGTTGTCAAATTGTATATAAATGTTTTCGTTGTATATAATCCTAATAACAGATCCTATTCAATTAACATTTTTATTTTTATTTTTTTAGTAAATATAACCTTTCTATAAAACTTAGTAAATAGTAACATGTCTAACTTTAAATTTGTTGAAAGAAATTTGAACAAGTTATTAATAAAGATAAAATATAATGATATAAGAATAAAAATAATGATATTGTTATTTATTATTTTTTATTATAAAAATAGGCAATTAATAAGCAAGTGGAAGCAAAGCTTTAATGGGTTACTTTTTAGAAAAATTAATAGAAAACTTCAGATTAGTTACGTTATTGGATAAAATACTATAGTTGTATTATTGATAACTTATCAATGATAACACAATTAAATTTAGTTTTTAACTTAAATATTTGTGGGTTAAAATTTAAGATTATTGAAACAAATAATGATAGTACAATAACGTCAATAACATGTATTGATACATTGATATTTGATACTCTTGGAGCCATCAAAATTATTTTATGATCAATGACTGTTATAATATATATTTTTACAAACTACATGGCGTTTTGTGTAATTAACATTTAATGCTATTAACCTTAGTACATTTTTTAAATATTTTTATTTCATGCATAAACTAATTACAATTTTAAATTAACTTAATTATATCATATTATAAGCAAAAATAAGTATATAAGTCTTTTGAATATTTTCTTGTGTTTTAATACTTAATTAAACCAATATTAATTAAAATGAAATACAAAAATTTACTATACAAAAAACTATTAATCTTGATATATGGTATTTTACTAAATATTTAAGCTCAATATAACAATGCCGGGTGGCATGAACGTTCATTAAATATTTAATGAATCAATAGCACGTCATTGAACGAATAAAAATTTATTCATCCTCTAAACGTTCACTAAACATTCAAAAGGATTATTGAGTCATTAAATTATTGGTTAGCAGTTAATTAAACTAATGATCCAATTTTGGCTCATCAAAATTTTAGTCAGTCATTACTTGTTATCACGATGTCACTACGCTTTTATTTATATTTGAATTAAAACAGCTGAAGAGTTGTTACCTTTTTTCTTGTGATATGTTTCAAAATTCAACGTAAAACTTAGTATTATGTTTAAAACCAATAGATTTGTATTCAATTGTTAGTGCAATCTAAATAGTGCAATAAAAATATTCAATGGTTCGAAAAAAGCGTTCGTTAAATAAATTTAAAGAACGGTCATGTACAACTTGGCATAAATAGTTTAATGTAATATTACACCTTAAGTTTATTTTTTAATAATTATTATTAATAAAAAGAGTGATTTCTTAAAATTATGAATTAAGTAGATTATGTAATAATATAGATTTGAAAAATTACCAAGAATTTAAAATACATACTATTTTTTTTTATTATTTATAATAAACTTGAATATAAATAATTAAATTATTTATTATTCAACATAAGGTTATTAGAAAAATATACCTTTAAGTGCTACAATGACAAATTTATAAATAATTTTAAAATAATATTTATTTTTTTTTTTGATTTTAATTTTAATTACTAGAACAAACATTTTGTCAAATTATTGATATGATAAATACTTTATGTATTATTAAATTTGTAATATTTTTTTAATCTTTTGACACAATTAAATATATGCAGTTATTAATTATTTAAAAAAATATATTAATCTACTATAATATTATAAAATTAGTCATTTTCAATTAATGGTTTGATAATTATGTATAATTGAATTGAAATCGTTGGGTTATTAATATTTATTAAAGATATAAGTTATAGTAATAATTAATATTTGACTTCAGACCAATGATTAACTATTAAGAGTATATTTAAAAAAAATTATTAATTTATATATTTATTAATGGTTATAACTCACGAATATTTGTATATGATAAAAATAAAAAGCTTATCGAATACCATTCTTCAAAAGAAATTCTTACGTGAAAAATATCGAACATTTCAAAAAGCCCAATATCAACTTAGAATATAATCTTGACTATCAGTTTTACATCATTTACTGCAGTTTTAATCGTAAGTTCTAGTGATAATAATATGTTAGTAAAATTTCCCAATATTTAATAAATATACTTAGATAATTTGGTTAAAAATATTAACTTCTAAATTATATAAAATAGTTTTACATTATAAATAATATGAATAATAAAATATTTTTTTTCAAATTATTCTACTTTTATATCATTAATTTACTAAAAATATGTCACATACAATAAAAATATATTCATTATACTCCTATAATAAGGAAAAATGGATACAAAGCTAAGAAATGTATATTTCGGAACTCACTTACTCAATTAAAAATATTTATTTGAAATCGTCTGTAAACTTATTCATTACAATTTTTTAAACGAGTATATTATTCTTCATTTGATAAATAAATAATATTTTTTAGAAGCTAGTTTCTTATGGTATTTTGCACATATCTATAAAGTTGAAATTAATTATTTTATAAAAATAATTAGTTTGATATGTAACTGATGCATCAGTAGACTAATTATTTGAGTATCATTTTTAAATTTTCGAAATAATAACATAATCTACTTCCACAATTCACTTAAATCATTGTAAAATATTTTCAGAAAATTGGGTAAATTTTGCATTACGTTTTATCAAATTATTTATTTTTATATTTAAAATTACATGTTCATATTTAAAACTTTATAATAATATTTCAAATTATTATTTTTAAACTATACGATAAATATGCGCTAAATAAAATATATAATTCTCTAGAAATGCAATTTAATATTTTTATTTAATGTTCAAACATTATACTAAAGTTATTACCAGCCAATAGTTATGCATGCTCATTTCTGTTTTTTATTAAAATGTTTATCATAGTACAAATTACAATAATTAAAAAGTAATGTCTTATAAGCTCAATTTTTAACAAAATTGTAAATTATTTTAAAAATATTCAAATTTTATAACTTTATATTTTCTATTATAGTATAAAATTCCCTTGGCGCAGCCATTAAAAAAGCTTAAAATTGTCAATGTGTCACGTCTTCTCTTCACCCGCTTTATAGTCTCTACAAATATTTTACACGTCCCCCGAACACAATCATACCATATAATGTATTACTGCTTAAGTAATTATGTTTACTTATATAAACTTTTATTTTAAACAGTGGCTCCATTACAATATCATATCAATACAACGATGATACAAGAAAATACAAAAAATTATATTACCAATTTACAGTTAATGAAGCTAATTGGATTATATCAATTACTAAATCCAAATGCTACAACATTATTTGGATACAGTATTTATAAACTAGGCGGTTTTATTTCAATTTTATATCTTATAGTACACATTATAATATGCAATATAAGTATATATTATTCTCAATATGATTTTACTGCAATCGTTAGATATATCATTTTTATGTATGCAATAATTTTTATTATAATTAAAATAAGCTTTGTTATTATTAAATCCGATAAATTATGGAATTTTATAAGTTTTACATCTATCACATTTTTATCTTATAGTGGTCACCAAAAATATTTTCTAATAAATGCTCGAGTAATATCATTAATGTTTTCAAATATTATCACAATACTATGGGTTGCTTTTTTAGGGTTATGGATTTTCTCTCCAATCATTACAAAGGACAATTATTTATATATTAAATCCAAAAATAGTACATACATTCAATACCGATACAATATACTAAATTTAATATTTCCGGTATCAACTCAATTTTATAATGATAACTTCAACGTGTTTTATTTAATCGAAGTAATAACTTTATCGGTTTATGGATATTCGATGATTATTTTCGATTTTTTGTTTATTTCTTATTGCATAACCATCGCCTTTCAATTAAAAACGATCGCATCATCATACAGCTCATTAGGATATAACCTTACCAACAACAATAAAATTAAAAGTAAGCTATAATTTTTACATATTAAACTTTTTCATATAATCGTATAGTATATAATTTTTTTATAGGTAGGAATAACAGTAGTATACTGGTGGATATTTAATAAAAATAATAAACATTTAAAAACTATGGTCATTTTAATTTACTTTAAAATATTATAATATTGTTATCTATTTTTTTCGACCAAATACACATTGTTATTCATATATTAGTTTTATTTATTTATTTTTTATTCAAATAAATACTCGGCAGCAATGACCATTGGGTGATATTAATACAAGCGAAAGAGAGAAAAAAAGGGAAACAAAAAGAATTTATAATTGAATTACATGTAGTTTGCTTATAGCTAATTGAGACTGGATAGTTTAATATATGTATTTAAGATAATATACATTTTAAACTTGAGATAGTGTGGATTAATGATTATATTTTATTTGTTAAATATATTAATTTTATTATAACACTTAATAACAATACTATTTTAAAATACTCTTTGACTATCAGAATGACAACTAAGTATACTAACCACAATAAAAGAAGTGTAGAAGTGTCCCTCGTTTTTAATTTATTATGTGTCAATTTGCGTAATATTTATTTATTTTTATAATTATCGGTCGACCCTAAATTTAAATCCTCCTCCATAATGAAATATTTATATCGATTTTGAGGAAATAATTAATCGCTTTTCTAAAGAAAAAAATAGTAATTTAGAATTTGTGCTGCAAGATTGAATTTTATTTTATATTACCTATATATTTTGCGCATTTAAATATTATTAACAAACCGTATTCATTTATGTATGGGTGCTTAAAATATATATATGTTTAATTCATTAAAAATATTTATAAATTATTCTATACTTTATACACCACTTTTTAAAATTTTTATAACCACTTCCGAAAATTTTTCCTGACTTTGTACTCAATAAATACCTTTTGTCTAGTAAATAGTGATATAGCACATATTTACAACTAACAGACTGCTGTATTTCAATTATAGTTTAGTAGAATTTCCAGTGAAATAAGTCCATGACTTAACTTCCACCTCAACAAGAATAAACTTAAGAATAAAAGTGTTAATCAAAAATGACTTTCATTTTTTCTATGTTTTTTTTATGTTTTTACCAGTTGTCTCTTGCATCTCTAACGGTGATTACCAATCATCGACAACGGTACTTAAAGTTCTCAATGGCTCTAAGTAAACAACGGTGTACAGCCATAACGATTTAAATTGTTTAGTTTTTTAATTTTCCTGACGTATTCAACTATTAATGTATTTCTTCAATTCCAAATTCCTATGAGCTTTAATTGTGCCATTATTATTTGTATCTAGACAATATCTCTATAAAATATCACGTTTATAAATATTAGATTTAAAACAGATTATCGCTTTTCTGACTTTGAAGTAGCCATATATGACATTTCCAGTTTCTTTGTGATAAAACTAACTGTCTATGAGCTGTTTATTTAGTTTGACATCAACATTGCCATGTTCAGTAATTTTTGATTCACACTTTTATTGTCTGACATAATATGTTTTGTTAATTTTACATGGACTTCACGTTTATCGTATTCGTCCTTAACTAGGGAATTTATTATTATAACAATTTTTAATAATCATATTACTATGTAAATTGTTCATTTTTGACCATTAAATAAGGTAACTCTTAACTATAATTTGACCTCATTGAAATTTTTAATGTAGCCTAATTTACCGAGCAACACATCGCCGCATCAACCTAAAACTTAAAAATTTCTAAGAATTTTTATAAAAATTAGCAAATAGTTTCGTAATGTAATACTATAAACACATTTTAACTAAACATCAATTAGAAACAATGATTAATTACTTACTTAATAATTTACCTTTACACATTTTAGTTTTATAATATCAAACTAAATTATATTATTTATCTGTGACATAATATCATGAATATTGGTGTTTTAGACGAAGAAAACCAGTTAATAAATGAAAAACCAATGGATATAATTAATTTGATACTAATAATTCAAGATCATCAAAAATTGACTAAGTAATATGCGTCCTAAATTCTAATATTATATCTAAAAATGTATAAATACCAATATAATAGATTTAATTAAAATTATTATTTTTAGGAAAATTCATGAAATTTATGATCTGTTACGTCCCATTATATTTTTTCAATTGCTATCTGAATCAATATTTATGTCATTAATTCCTTTTGTAATTGTTTTGGTAAGATTTTATAAAATACTAATTAAAATCAACGTATTAATTTATATTTTTTATTTATTTTAGAATTCAAAAAAAGGTGTACCACTAACTTCACCAGAAAGTATTAAATTTATCTCAACTGCAGTATTTAACACCGGTCACTTATTCTTAGCATGCTATTTATTCAGTTTAATAAATAAATATGTAAGTAAAACATTAACAAAATAAATTTTTATTAATTTATTATAATTTTATCTTTAAAATTAAACCTTTTAAAAATTGTATTTTTTGATTAGTGACAAAAAAAATTTGAGAATATTTATATCATAAATTTAATTGTTTCATATTTAATTATACTGGACTTTATAAATAATACCTATATTATATATATATGGCTAATATTTGTTTAACTTACAATTTAAGTGATATATTTTTACAAACAAATTACAATTCAAAAATGTTATGTATAACACATAACTGTTATTAATGGTGCAAACTAAACAGTTAAAAAATGCAATTATTATTACTCCTGAATTTTTTTTAGGTGGGTTCCCCTAGCTTTAAAATATCTTTATAAATTTACTACGTATAAAAATAAATTATGAAATTATAGACCCGTCTACTTTTTGAAAATTATTTGGTAGGTAGGTTGTATATTTTCCATTCAATACACAACTCCTATTCATTTTTCAGTGTGCGCCACTGACTATTATAATGTATAATAATTATTTATTTACAATGCATCTATGTTTTTCTATACAACAGCCTACAGTATCTAACTTAATTTCAGAATGATACAATAAATTTTGCTTTATACAATTGTAATTGGATAGAAATGAACATTAATTTCAAGAAATTATTATTGTTTACAATGAAAATGAATAACGCAAACAACTTTAAACTTAATATATCACCAAAAATTATGGTCAATTTAAAATTATTCACAAATGTAAGTAATAAATTAAAAAAAAAAATTATAACCATTAATACTATGCATAAAAAGTTTTATTTAATATTGATAGAACAATTTTATATTTTCAGGTTATTCATACAAGCTACAAAATAATACCAGTTTTAAAATCAATAGTAACTTAGTTCAGAGGAACTTTAGAATGAAAATAATGCTGATAAAATAAAATAAATTATTCAACTCATATATAAAAACAATAATAATTATTAGTTTAAGAAGTTGATTTTTAATAGATTTACATCTGTAAAATAATATTTATAAAAAAATAAATAAGTCGTTTTTGAGTATATTTCGTATTCAATTCGAATATATTTTCAGAAATTTAAGAAATAGTAGTGGTTTTTTGACAATATTTGGGTGCACGTACGACAACAGCACTCTGTAATTTCTTTTACACTATAAACACTAATCATAAATTACTACGTTCATACATTAAGAAAATTGCCTGTATTGAACTCCTTAAAAACGTTCGGTATGACAATATCAAATCCCCTTAATATTAATATTAACTTTTTAATGAATTTTATAATTTGTAAAAATTCTATTAGTTTAATATAATCAATACTAGACTATATAGTAAATATTACATTTATTTTATATAATATGTTAATTGTATAACCATTTACAACCATTACTGAGAAATATTACCCTTAATACATGACTAGTTAGTAACTTAATAACTCAGTATTTACACGTACACGTTTGAAATCTGGTTAAGATACGCAGGAATACCATAGTGTGCCACTCCATTCTAACTTTAAAAATACAAATTGAACACTGAATGAAAGACATTAAGTTTATCGTGTGATGTAGATACAAATTAGAATTTAATATATTTTATTTCATTAATAAATGTACTATAATAAATATAATACATTTAAAATCAGTAGATTGTTATTAACAATTAAACAAACTTAACAAAATAGATGTTACTTATTATATTAATAGTTTTATAAATTAATAATTTAGGATTGAATTATATCAATTTATCTAAGACTATAAAAATTATTTAATATAAATAAAAAAATACGATACAAGTCTGTACTATATTTCAAAATATGTTTTTTATTTATCAGCTTCAAGTAAAAAGAAATGTTTCATGTTTTTAAAATTTATGTGAAATATAATTTCTTTTTCTATTCCATCATTACATATAATCTAAACTTAAAATATTTATAATTTGTTACGACAGTTATTTAATGCAAATTTAAAATGTATTTGTTAACATCTCTATGTTTTATTTTGTGTTAATATTATTTATTAAATTAATAATAACTAATAACAAATACATTTTTCAATATTTAGAAGAGATTAGGTGTAAGGGCAATATTTTAAAACCTACTTTTTATAATATATAGATATTTAAATATATTTTTAAATCATAAATATAGTGTAAAAAAAAATTTACCTTTTATAAATATATAAAAAATTAATATGTAGTTTGAATACATTGTTTATTTAAAATTATAGGTAAGTTTGCAAGCTTGCGTGTTTTATCAAACGTTTTTCAGTTCATTTAATACACCTTAAACAATTTTAGGAAAGTGGATAACTTATTAATTCATCAGTTTATTAATTATTTATATATTTTAAGTTATAAGAAAAGCGATGAATGAGTAATAACTTATGTATTAGGTTTACAATGACGTGTCTTTATTTTTAATTTTTTTTTTTCAAACCTGACCTTTAATAAACCCAACAGTTGTATTATATTGAAAGCAAATGTTATATTTTTATGTGTACCAAATTTATTTTTTAATTATACAAAAATAATTTAATACCAGTAAATCACTATTAATTTTATGCTGACGTAAATCGGACAAAATGATTTTGGCACGATATGTTTTGCTAACGAGAATAGGTTACATTCGAATGGCATGTGTTTAAATGACATCTGGTCGAATAAAAAGTAATCATAATACCATTTATTCGAACATTAATGTGTTCTATGGTTATTGACAGGATACATTTCCTTGGATATTATAATTTATTATTTGTATATATACATAGTATAAATCATTTTAAATATATATAGTACAATAATTCTAAATTGTTGTACAAAACAAATCAATATAATTGTATACAACATAACTAAGTAAATTCTTAAATATCTATGATAAATAAAACCACAAAATATTATTATCAGGTGTACAACAATTGAAAAATAATATTTATACAATATGAAATACAATTAAAAGTACTAAAAACTTACTTACTGAATTTTTAAATAAAACGATTAAACATTAGGTTAAATAGATATTGGTATATAATATTCTATGGTTTTTTTTTTTTTTTTTAAGTCATGTTTATTACTGTGCATTTTATAATTTTACCATATAATAGATATAATATTTTATTTAAAATTTAAATTGATTAAAATAAATGTGTGTTAATAATATACATATTCAATATGTTGATAACAAATATCTACATGATTTCATTTTTTAATGCTTTTGAAAACAAATTCTAATACCAGAACAATCATTGAAATTATATAGCCAACGAATAAAAACACAAAAGCAAACCATAAATCATTTAATGAATATGCTTTTAAATCTTTTGATGAGTTAGAATTTAGTGGCTGATAATATACTACCTCTAACTTTTGAATATCTATTTTCCATTTGTCAGTAATTCCAGCTTCTTGAAAACGTGTAAGAAGATCATTTAGCTCGTTCAAAAACGGAAAGTCTATTGAAATTGCATATGTTAAATAATGTTTTAGTGGACATTCCTATAGAAAGAAAAGCATAAGTTATCAAACAATTAATGACAAATAATTACGTTATATTTACGTATATATCATTAATATACATTCAATAATTAATAAGACTAGGTTACAACTAAAATACAATAGTATTACTATTTACTAGCTACCATTGAATAGGACAAATATAGATTAAAATAATATAACCAAATAGGTATTTTCAATAGAAAAATGATTAGGAGTTAAAAATAAACATTTTAATAATATGAAATAATAACTGAACTTCAACAAGAATAAGTTGAAAGAGAAATCTTTTGGTAATACGTCCACAAAAGTTATATATTTCTTATAACATGAAATAAAATATCACATTCAAAAGGATAAAAAATAAAGTCATTATTTTTTATAGGTATTGATACTAAATGTAGGGACTTTGAGTTTATTATAATTAATAACTTATTTAATATATATTTAGTTGTATTGAATTTCAGTTTTTATACTTATGATTTACAGGATTTTTCTAAGCAAATCTTTGCATTTTACGCATTTCACCAAACAAGGTAATTACCTACTATTTTCTGTAAAAACTTTTTTAGTTTAATTTAATAATAATAAAAATAAAGGGAAAAATAGATAAATGCTCTACTATACACTAGGTGTCGATTAAACTTCGTAATTGAGGAATAATTCATTACATACAAAAAACTATTCTGAGCGATTCTAGTCTATCGGCCTATTTCATTAAGTATATTTTATGATATATTTATAATACTAATAATATATTTTATTTTATTATTATTGATATAGCTAGAAGGTTAAATTAATTTTATTTCCAAAACCGTTGCATTTTAAAATTTTGTTGTGTGATAAATGCTATGTGATTTTAATTTTAATTATTAATTAAATTAATATCAAAAAACATGCACCTATAATAAACAGTGAAATTTACCTGAACCACATGCAATGCAAAACTTTGTTGTTGAAAATGTCCAATAAAATTTAAAGACTTTGAAAGACTCAAATTCATAATCCTTGCAATAAAGACAAATTTTGATGCAATATAACTTTGTCTATCTTTTTCTACATCTATTTTATTTGCAAGGGATTTTGTATGGGAATACATCGCCAAAGCATCCCGAACATATTGTAATGAAGTTCGAATTTCCATTCCACTTTTATCAAGTTCTTCTAATGTGTCGATTTCTTTTTGACTAGTTTCTGTGCTTAACTTTGTCACCATTGATGCTTGGAATAAAGTAACGATAACAAAACAAGCTACCGAACACGATACAAACAATATACGCCCGGCCACATGTTTTGGTAAACTACAAACGCCCATACCCAAAACAACCTAAAACACATATTAAAATCTACGTAATGGTATGTAGTCGAAATAATATTGTTGATAATTTTTGATTTTTTTACCTGGAGGCTAGTCATAAATGGATCAGATATTTTTCGCCCGCCAAACAAATTTAATTTATTAAAAAGCTGGAAAGACTTGGTCATCAACGCATACGTAACAGCCACACACAACCAAACCTCAACGCTAAAAGTCATCCACAATATCTGAAAACTAGTCAACACTTCGGCTTTTGGCACAATAAAACATATGTAATCTAAACCGTTAGTGAGGGTATACTTATACGGCTTTTGGATCATCGGATCGTTCAGAAAACGGCTGTTGAATGACACGTCTGCTCGGCCGTAAACCACTTCAGCAAGTACACCTGTATATGTTCCATTCATTAACCTACAACGTAATAGCAGAATTTCAAAATCGATTTTTAAACATACTGAAATAAATATTTTTAATAAACTTGAGTATTCTACAATTTGTTTGCCGATTAAAATAATAAATTAAACGATATTATTCGTTATTAATATACTGAAAACTATGCAGTATAATATCTACAAGTTTTAGGTAAAATATAATATTAGTATATTTCATTAAGTATTAAAATATTGATTTTTAATAAAGCAACAAACCTATATCCAAATCCGGGTTGATCTGAAAACAAAGATATTTTAAGAGAAAAATTCATTCTTTTCGAAAACGCTTCCAATGTTCTCCAGTCTGGTCCAGTCCATTCACCATTATGAAATATTATAGATGGTATCCTCGGAAATATAACTGCTCGTAATGGATATTGCTTCACATTATTTATTCCATAATTTAATTTACTGGCAGTAACGTATTTGTAAAATCCATCATCGAATATCCTCAGAACTTTTAAATTGTTTAAATTCAACAAGGAAATTTTAAAAACTTTGAAAGTTTCCCAAATAAGTTTGATTTGTGGCCATATTTTTTTGGTATTCAACTTTTTTTCACTAACTATTAAATAAGTCTTGGTAGTATGCCAAAATTGGCGATTATATATACTTTCGTCAAAAAAAAATTGTTCATCTTCAATA